CTATAAAATCTCTAGAAAACAACTTACGCCACCACCTGACGAGCTTACCAGAACCTTCTCCCGATCTTACATATCCTGAACTGATGCAAACTCTGCTTCTAAAGAACGCTTTACTAAGATCAATTGCAATTCTCTTAATGTAGTAGTGATTATCTAGATCGAGCATGATCGATGTGTTCCATGCACTAACAAGGAGTATCTTTAATCACATAGATATCTGCAAGTATCATGTTCACGAAGTGCGTCGCTTCATGTTTAAAGTACTTAGAGGCCGTGCCTTGGACCGAGGAGGAAGAAGAGAAACTAAGGAATCTGTTTATAAAAGTCGAGTTTGATGATGCAACAAGTAGAGATGTCATGGCTAGACTACGCTTGCGCGACTCGGTAACTTCACATCAAAGTATAGCCAGACAGCTCGTTTGGTCCATTTCCACTTGTACTAACTCCATTGCAAGAAATGAACTCAAGTCTTTAGTCAAGGGACTTCTCTGCAAAAGCTCAGTTTATGAGAAGGATCATCTGGGCCTCAGTAAAGAGGACCTTTATGCAGTTTTCCATACTTGTATAGCTTCATTAGTCAGCCTTTTTAAGGGATCCTCGGACACGGTCTGCCCCCGAAGATTCGTTAGGAATATAACCGAGAAGCCGTTAATCGAACAAATCGCAATCGAGGTAGATAACATGAACTGGCTGCTCGAAATTTTACTTGATTGGCAAATGGCTGAAGAATCTGTCAATATATGGGCAGATCAGAAAGAACTGATTCGGATGCACGAGATCACTTCACCTATGGTTAGATACGAACTCAGTCGGGTTTCAGCTAACTTATTCATCGCAATAGGGACAAGAAAAATGAACTGTCGTTCGGAATCAAGGTCGGGACTACTACAGTCATGGTTCGGTCCAATGCTACTAGACTTCAGCTGGCTACAGCGCTGCAAAAAAGGACTGGATATGAAACTGCTGGAGGAAGCCATGGGTCAGGCTCTGCTTACTCTACCTATGAGGCAGCAGCATTTGCTATTCATGGAATGGTGTCGGTTCTTCTCGAAGCACGGTACCGAGTGTCCGAATCTTAGCAAATCGTTCCAAATATGGTGGCGCCGTTCGTTCCTTAGAGGCTCTGAGACCTGCTCCATTGAATCCAGGTAGCTCTCCCTGCACCACTTTCTTGAGCTATATAACACCAGTGAACCAGTTGTGTAAACCTGAAAGTTAACAATAGGATTGTTGTAACAGCTTTTAGAGCAAACAGACAACTTTAAAATTTACGAAAGCTTGTACTGATTTCCCACTTGTTTGTCACTCTCTGGAAATTATGTTCTTAAGCTCAGTGCTAATGAAATTCTTAGGGTAGATTTTTCATAATACCCGTTTTAACCCCTCGACCAAGCTAAATAGTGCATATCTATGACATGGAAGTTCCTTATTGAGTCGTAAACTTAAACATAGTTCAACTAGTTTAGATATATATTTTCGACCAAGCTATGTAGTGTATATCTATGACATGTAAATATCTTATTGAATCTTCAACTTAAATATAGTTGAACTAGTATAGATATATATTCTCGACTAAGCTACATAGTGCATATCTATGACCCGTTTCTTATTGAGTCGTAAATTCTCGACCAAGCTACTTAGTACATATTTGTGACCTATAAGTTTCTTACTGAATCTTAACTTGAACATAGTTCAACTGGTATGGATATATATTCTCGACTAAAAGATTAGATAACTGAATCTTTCAATTTCTACACGTTATTAGACTGAAAAAAGAAGGGTCTCTCTCTATCTCCCATGTAATCTAGTATAAAAAATTTCAATTCCTCCCGACACTTACGATATCAATCGCTTTTTTCATATATTGATATTTGTCAAAATATTCTATCTTTTCACATTAAATATGTTGGATAAGCCTCACGTAGGCCTTCATTCTATAAACTCTAAAAAGATTTTATTTTATTTTATTATTATTTTTTGGCTGTTTATGAGATTGGAAATCCTACCGACCTTTTTTTCGTTGTTTTTAATAATAAAGATGATGATAATTGATAGTAATAACAATTATTATTATTATTATTAAAATATGAAGAAGAAAAAAAAAAAAAAAAGGAGAATTTTGAAGTGGCGGCTGCGTGTTCACACCATGTGGTCCGAATTTAACAATTTTTGGGCCATAACCTAATCCACCAAAAACCAATATATTGTAACAACCCTTTGTGGTGGGACCCACTGAGAGTGACGTCATTGCATATTTAGCAATATTATCCTAAATTATTGCAATATATATATATATATATAATAAAGATTTTTATATTTACATAAATTATAATAATGGTCACATTTCAATGATTACACTGATTTCCATTATTTTATTTTTCAGTATATAAGTTAAAAGTATATTAGTAGTTTATCCTCTTTTTTATTTTTATTTTTTATTATTTGCTTATCTATAGTTATTTTACAATAGCACTTATTCATTTTTATTTTATATTTGTAATTATGTTTAAATTAAGAAAATTTTAAAATATTAGGGATATAAATGAAATTTATCACTTCATAATTGTCAAATTTATTCCAAAATGGTAACCTCATATTCTATTTTACTCAAAATTTCAATTAAAATTTTCTCGAATTTAATATTAATACAAAATTAACATTTGGTACGATAATAAATTTATTTTTTATTTCCCATTTTCTAAAATTATATTATTTTTTTAATATGAGTTTTACCTCTTAATAATTTAAAAATAATCTTGAAAATAAAAACAAAATAGTATCCAAATCCAATAATAAAAAATAATAATAAAATAAAGATTCCATGCATCAATAATTAGTGGAAAAGGCAGTTACAATAGATAACCAAAAATATTATAATTTGTTGCTACATTCTAATCATGATATTATAATTATTAAATATAATGGCCCATTATTTTGGCATGAGATGCCAGGTGTTATTTAGGAATTTGAATTTTTAATTATATTCTAATATTATTCAAATAACACATCTTTGTTAGTAAGTATCGACTAATTAAGATATATATTATCAACAAAAATATTTTTATTTATCATATTTATAAATAATTTATTACATTTTATAACTTTAACTATCAATATAGGCATGGAAAAGACAATAAACTTAGAAATTAGGTTAAAATTATATATGTTAGATTTTCTCGTCGAAAATTTTCAAATTATTTATGATAAATTAATAAAAATATAATAATGTTTAATAAAAAGTAGGGAATAAATATTTTTTCCATGTGCAACCTATATTATTTTTTTTACAAAAGTTAACTTTTATGAATTTAACCATTATTTAGTTATTTATTAGGTAAAATGTGGCATTAAAAGGAAGTTAAAAAAAAAAAAAAAAAAAAAAGATGCCACGTGGAAGACGAGGTGTTGAAATGGGGTCAGACTGAGATTCCGAGAGGTCTCCTCTGCAATTTTGACTCATTCAAAGCTTTTTTTTTATTTAATTCTTTTATTCTACCTTTTTTTTTTCTTTTTAATCATTTTTATTATCTTTATTTTTAGAAAATAAAAAATTGGGATGGCTATAAATTCAAAATCAAATCATGTTAAAACTACTTTTGGAATTTATTCCATAATATATTTTCTTTTCTTTTTTAATCTTAATTTATAGAAATCACTTTTATTTTTGTTTTTTTTTATTATAAAAATAGAGAGACCTTTTAAGTTTATATTTATTTATTTTGAGAGAAAAATAAAATAGATTTAAATGTAAAATATAATCTATAATATTTATGATTTAGGAGATTTCAATATGAATATTATGAATAGTGCTGTTGACATTTAACTCAGATGTTTACTATCCCATTTTTGTCAACATGCTCTTTTTTTTTTTTTAATTTAAAAAAAAAATAACTTTTTCATGTCAAAAAGTCAACTTTTCATGAGTCCTTTTAAAGTTATTTATTGCCTTTTTAAAGATTGCAATCTAAAATCTTTTATTATTTACAAAAGTTTTGGAACACTTATTAGCCTTTCAATTATTTATAATTGCTATTCATTACATATTAATTATTTGATTTCTTTTTTTTTTTGTTATAATTAAAAAATTATCATTGAAATTAAATTTATACGGACAAAATGACAACAATTTTTTATAATCTCAACGTGTTATTCTAAATTTTTGTTAATTTATGAGCGACTCGTAGTTTTAAATTTCAATTTAAAATTTTTTTTTTTTTGTTAATCAAAATGTTCGGAAAGAAAAATAGAGCTATCGAAATATGAGATAATAGTAAGTGTTTTATCCACCCTATTGAATTTAAAAATTAAAATTAAAATGACTAAAAATTAATTTAAAATTTACAAATTATATTCTAATTTATTAATACCATTCTATAAAATAAAAAATAACCACAAAAATCCTAAAAATATAATATTAAACGAATAATTACCAAGCAGGGCAGATAAAATACTAATTTTTTTCTCTAAGAATTTCCCCTTCAAAGAAATAATTGAAAATTATTAATTAATTTTTTTTAAATATATAAATTAATTTTGTCGATGACATTTATTTAATTATATAGATTACGTAATATAATGTTCCACATAAGTATTATTTAGCAGTGAGCTCCAAAATTTAAATAATTTTTTAAAATTTTTTTTGCCTATTTGATTTTTTTTATTATAATTACAAATACTAATACGGTGTGACGTACACATATGATCATCTTAGTTTTAATAAATCGTAATTTACCAAAACAAATTTATTACATACTTCTAATACCCCTTTCTAAAATTATATTTTTAAACGTATTAAATTATAAATTTGATTCTATTATCTAATTTTAATTTCTACTGAAAAAAAAAAGAAAAAGGCAAATTTGGTTGGTGTCTGGTGTGCGTGTGAAAGAAGGGGAAAAGGAAGGAAGAAGAAGGTTCTTAGTGGGTGCCACCAAAAACAGCAACTGGGTTACACGGAAATCAATTGAAAAGGATACCCTTTTCTTCGTTTACAGATCGCACACGCTTTGCCATTGTTTCTCTCACTAGCCCAGTAAGCAAAACGACCCCCTGTGTTTCTCTCTCTAAAAAGCCCCCCTATGAAGTTGCCACGTCCTTTCCCCCCACCACTTTATCCAACCACCGTCTGCCCTCCTCCTCCTCCCCTCTGATCTCAATTTCTTCTTTGAGTTTTCTTCCTCTCTTTAAACCCTTTTCATATTCTCCTCTTGCTTCTTTGATTTTCCTCGAACCCTCCCTCCCTTTTCAATTCCTCTCTCTGATTCTTTCTGGGGTTTGCTGATTTCCCTCTCTTCTCTACCATGCCGGCTTGGTGGGTAAGAAAATCGAGTAAAAACAAGGACCATCACAATCATCCCACTACCTTTCTCAACTTCTTCAACTCTTCTTCTTCTTCTTCTTCTTCCCCCAAAACTGAACCTAAGAACGCCAGCGACAAACCCAGGAGCTTCGATGAGGTCTCTCCGGTGATTTTCTCTCGCAATTCCCCCAGGTGTAGCAGGGATCTGGGCACTTCTGGTGCCGCCTCTTCTGGGTTTTCCGGTTTTGACTCCGATAGTGGGGATACCAGTGTTCCTCTTCCTCGACCTACTACTTCCGGCCTTGGGATTGATCATGGAGTCGGGAATGGATCTGGGTCTGTTTCGGTTTCAAGTGTTAGCTCCTCTGGCTCTTCCGATGATCATCCATCTGCTCAAGAACACCTTCAATTTGGAGGTCTCAGGTGGGTTTCCAGTTTCGAACGTTTCTGACTCCGATCGTTGCTTGTTTGTGTTGTTCTGATATTGGGGTTTTGTGAATTTTTTGAGTTTGTGAGTTATCGTGAAACTGAAGGACTTAATTCCCCTGTTTCTGTAGTCTTCTGCTGAAGAACATGGAATATACAACCAATTTTGCAATCTATTTGGCCCTGTTGGGATCTTAATATCTCTTTGCCTGCTTTGATTTCTGAAACTGGGCCTTCTGGTTTATTACTGTGTTTTGATATCTTTGTTCTGTTTCTTGTTTAGCTCCGTTGCTTAATGCTGATATGATATGAACTAGTTTATGTTTTAAACATGACACGAAAAGCTGGGCTTCAGCTTGTTGTTGTTTCTGAATGAGCTAATACTCCCATGGGTGAGAGATTAGAAGTAATGGCTATCAGCTTTGTCTCTGAAATGCATTTGGAAATTTAGTCCACTGTGTTTGAAATTTGATTCAGAGGATTTGCTGATACAAGAACAGAGAAAAGGCCAAGAAGTCCAGGTCCAGGATCAAGAGGACCCACCAGTCCTACATCGCCTCTCAACCCGCGGTTCTGTGGCATGAGTTTGGAGTCTCCTACAGGCAAGCTAGATGACGGGATGAGTCGATGTCACAAGCTGCCGCTACCTCCAAGTTCTCCCACCAGCCCGTCTTCCTTGACCAGCACGAGAGCTATCAATATCGGCGAGAACAACGTTGCTACACAACCGAAGTGGAAGAAAGGAAGGCTTCTAGGAAGGGGAACGTTTGGACATGTTTACCTTGGATTTAACAGGTAATGGTGATTTTGATTAGTATGATTTCATGTTCTCGCAGTAATGAATGCATTGAAACTATATTTTCTATTTCGGGATGCAATTTAAACTCGTTCCTCGAAATGTATAGTGTTCGAATAATGATTGACCAAGATACTCGATCTAGTTTCTTGTGCTACTTGGGAGTTGATCTCCCTGTTAGCATCTCAAATGGCACCATATTTGTTTTTATGATTACTTCTGTAACCCATTTTCTTGGATTCATTGCAGTGTAAGTGGCCAAATGTGTGCAATCAAGGAGGTCAGGGTTATAAGCGACGATTCGACATCGAAGGAATGTCTCAAGCAATTGAACCAGGTAGTTCTTATTCTCTAGCTTGAGTTCATTGCGTTTTGAAAGTGCTTATGGGTTTAAAGGCTACCATTTTGATGGTTGGTTGTAATTCTAACCAATCACTCTGTCTAACAGGAGATTACCGTGCTCAGTCAGCTGTCGCATCCAAACATCGTCCGGTACTATGGTAGTGAAATGGTAAGTACAATTGTCGTAACCAAACATCGTCACTGTGAACAAAGCTTCTGACTCATAGTAATTCTAATGTTTATAATCTTACGAACTAAATTTGCTCTATCAGGGTGACGAGTCCCTCTCGGTCTATTTAGAATACGTCTCTGGTGGCTCAATTCACAAGTTACTTCAGGAATATGGTGCCTTCAAAGAACCTGTCGTAAGAAACTATACCCGAAAGATCCTTTCCGGGCTTGCTTATCTGCACGGGAGAAACACAGTGCATAGGTATTTGGCTGTAAATACTGCTCAGGAATCTTGTTTTCATACTAAAGGGTAATTCCTATTTTACTTTTGAACATTCATGGAATGTACTTCTCATGGCAGGGACATAAAAGGGGCAAATATCTTAGTCGATCCGAACGGCCAGGTCAAGTTGGTGGACTTTGGCATGGCTAAACATGTATGTATATTAACTCTTCCCTCGAAGACTTAAACGTGTCGTTTTTTCTTTCTCGTCTTTAACTGATCCACGTTTTTAAATGCTTTGCTTTTTGGTTCGAATCAGATTACGAATTGTACTTCGATGCTCTCCTTCAAAGGTAGTCCTTATTGGATGGCCCCCGAGGTACTTTCTATCACCTTCTTCCACTCCCCCCGCTTTAAACAAAAGCCGAGTGCTGAAGAAGAATAAATGAAAAGGAAGAAAGAATCTTGTCATCGAGTTTATGAAAACAAATGTTCCTCCACATTCTTCTGTTTTGTATCGAACCTTTTTCTCTTAGTTATACACCTGCGCTGTGTCCGTCCTTACCGTTATTTCTCGTCGTGGAATCTCAGGTTGTAATGAACACAAATGGCTACAGTCTTGCTGTAGACATTTGGAGTTTAGGGTGCACGGTTCTTGAAATGGCAACGTCCAAACCGCCTTGGAGCAAATACGAAGGGGTTCGACATCTTCCTTAGATATTGCTCTCAAATTCTTCATTAGCTCATGTTATATTGTCTGGGGCCATACTTACTTATCTTATATCTTGACATTAACAGGTGGCTGCCATTTTCAAAATTGGGAATAGTAAAGACATTCCAGAAATTCCAGATCATCTCTCGAACGATGCTAAAAGTTTCGTGCAATTATGCTTGCAACGGGACCCGGCTGCACGTCCTTCGGCTGCAGAACTACTGGATCACCCTTTTGTTCAAGATGCGGTAACACCAAGAGCGTCCGATGTTAACTTGTCCATGGATGCATTCCTGTTTAGTTTCGATGGAAGCCAGACTCCGGTAAGCCTTTCGAACTTAGAATCACTTGGAAAAAGTTGGCCATGAAGTTGAAACCTTTGCAACTTTATATGCAGCCATTGTTAGATCGGCATCCAAACCGAAAAAGTATAAGCATATGCGATGGAGATTATGCGACAAACCCAACAATCTCTTCGAGAACTTCGAGGAGTCCCAGGTACTAAAACATCAGTTCCTTCACAATCTCCTCTTTGTCTAATTCTATATACTCACTTCGAGACCAATGCGCTCGCTCGCTCTACGTGCAGGGGAAACGCAAGATTGATCACATCCTTGCCTGTCTCTCCTAGTTCAAGTCCATTACGGTCGTATGGCCCCGCACACCAGAGCTGTTATCTTTCACCACCACACACATCTTACATGGGGTTGGGGCAAAGCGGATACAATTTAAACGAATATGCATATAACACAAGACCGAACACATTGTTCACCCTCGATCCATCACGAGAGTCGTTACTATTGAAAGTTCGGACTCACGGCGGATCACCAATAAGACCTCTATGACTGAACTTTTCTTTAAAAACAAGGAAGAAAATCATCTTCCTGACAGCCCCAGGTGTGATTTTATCCATTATGTAACAATTGTGAAAATTTTGGAAGTGGGGTAATGATATATGATGTAATTGGTTAGAGATATCTTTTTGGTCCTTGTAAAGTGACGGTGGTCTGTATATGTAATACTCAGTTTAGTAGCTCTGCTATCATCAACTTAGATCAGGCATTCAAAACAGATATCTATTCAGGAGGTTTCTATATATAGATCAATATATGTGTAAAATATGTAGTTTTAACTACAAATCTTTACAGAAACATGAGGAATAAACCTTTAAGTGAGGCATCCTTGATTCAAAGCTGTGATTACAGTCTTTCGTAGTTGAGTTTCTCCGACTGCCAGAAAGAGAGAAGGCATCATAATATATGCAACAAATGGTTAGCAAAGGAAGTAAATAGGAAAAGAAACAGGAAAGAAGATCAAAGCAAAGTCGTAGGAGTAGAGATGTCCACGGAGCAGGACGGGGAATATAATCTCGTTTTCGGACCCGTTTATCTAACAAGGAAATCTCCTCCCCACTCAGGGTAGGTTTCCACAATTCTAATGTTTAAATATATGGTCTTGCTTATTCGAAATGTGCTTGGTGACGAGTCGATGAACAAGATATCAAGAACAGCTTTTGAATAAATACCTTTATAAGCATGTCAGTGGGCAGCCAAGCTGGTGCAGTTGGGACACCAACCCATGCAATCTGTCCAAGAATTTTGAGTAAGAATGTAACACCACAAATATATAGCAGAAATGAAAGAACTTGACATAAGATGGAAGCCAAAGCATCATATACAAATGGATCCCAAATGAAAGTTACTCACAAGTGCATACTCCCCCGTCTCGAAAATGCGAATATCCAATACCTGAAAAGAAGATCGACTTGTTAGAAGTCCCTTGTATATTTTAACACGTTCGTGTGTAATCTGTGTAAACTGACCTCGCCACGATCTTCATAAATATAATCCAAGCCCTTGTAATAAGGTGGATGCCCAACAGATAGATACTAATAGTAAAGAAGAAGAAAATATTGTCATCATTCCAATACAATAGGAAAAGGGTATGTCCTAATTCATGGGAGAAATGTCCTAATTAATTCCGTTCCTTTTAACATTATGTTGTGTTTTCCATTGCCCCAATCTTGACAATAATAATTGAGCACAAAGGTCGGGTCATCACAGGATTAATGTGTGAGATCCCACATTAGTTGGAGAGACGAATGAAACACTCCTTGTATAAGGGTGTGGAAACTTCTCCTTAACAGACGTGAAACACGTGAGGCTGACAATGATACGTAACGGGCTAAGACTGTTACAAATGGTAGATTGTGAGATCTCACATCAGTTAGAGAGGGGAACGAAGCACTCTTTGTAAGGGGTGTGGAAACCTCTCCCTAACAGATGCATTTTAAAACCGTGAGTCTGACGGCGATACATAACTGACCAAGGCTGTTACAAATGGCATAAGAGTTAATCATCGAGGGGGTGTGCCAGCGAGGACACTGGCTCCCAAGGGAGGTGGATTGTGAGATCACACATTGGCTGGAGAGTAAAACGAAACATTTCTTATAAGGGTGTAGAAATCTCTCTCCCTAATAGACTCGTTTTAAAGCTAACAGCTAACTAATCACCACATAAACGATTCTAGAAAACTACTTACATTAACGCTATTAAGATACTTCTCTTTATCAACTCGCACAATCTGACCCTTCTTCACTACAGAAATCACATAAAAAGGAAGGAAATCAACAAATCTAAAATGAATCGTCAAATTCAAGAACGAGGGCAGCAGAATAGCAGAAGAAACTCACTCGAATAGACGGGCTTCTTTAGAACCTTGGGAGAGGCGGCGGGGGAGCTTGAAGTTGAAGGTTCAGCCATGGGGGGCTGCTGGGTTTTGGTCTCCGATGCCTTATTCTCCGGATCAGTGGATTTTAGGGCTCGAATGGGATTAAAACGAAGTGGGTTTCTTCTAAAACTTTGTGGGAACTGAGAGAGGCATGAGAAAGAGTTGTGCGAAAGAGATGCAGAGAAAGCCATGGCGGAAAAAGGATAGAGATTAGTGTGTGAGCTATAGAAATGTCCCTCACTCGATGGGTAGTTCAACAGAGATAACGCTAAAATGATAAACCACATATCCACAGCATAAATTTTTTAACAGAGTTGTTACTACTTCCTCCCTCCCATCAACGTGGGACCCTCCAATTCACCCTCATCCGAGTCTAGCGTCTCGTTGGCACATCGCTCGGATTCATCTCCTTCGAGGTCAGCGTCTCGCTAGCATATCGTTCGGTGTCTGACTCGGTATTGTCTTTTTTAGATTTTTCCTTTCGAGTTTCCCGCCTGATAGGGGGAAGTTTTCACACCCTTGTACAAAATGTTTCGTTATACTCCACAATAGACGTGGGATCTCACAAATTGTTTCGTGAAAATGTACATGCAAAGAAAAATTCCCCATTGAAAATGAGTGATTCGTGTTTCACGTGAGATTTTCTGGAAATATGTTTCACTTGACGATTGAAGTACTTATTGTAGCCTTGGTGTTGAATGTGTTTTTAGCTTATTAATCTGGTTGAAGATTCGATCTTGAGAGCGTCTTTAAGTCTTTTGATCTTGAGAGCATCCTTGGTCTAGTCTTGCAAAGTTATAGAAGTATTCGAAGTGTTATGGTTCTCAAGTTACTAAACTTGGAAATGAAGGATAGCTACTTTATTCATCGAGCTTTCCATATGGGTAATGTGTGATTAAACTTAGTAGACTCCGCCCTTGACCCAGTTGACTCGAGTATTATTAGTCTTGAGCTTCAAGCCCAATTCTAATTTGAGACACATGTCAATTGCCATCGGTCTCAAGTTCAATAATTTAATTTCTTCATGAATTTAAAGAACGTGACCATTTGTGATTGATCAAAACTCTCATTCAACAAACTCATTTCCAACTTTCAAGACTAACTCGTTGTTAGAATTTGAATATCACTCAGGTAGTTAAGACATTATATTTTCGACCAGAAGATCAAACTTTAAATAGCCAAATGGGACGCATAAAATTTCACACTATTTGGAAGTTGAGAATTAGATACAAAGACTTGAAATGGTTTCTTCCCTTCCCTTCACCATTTCCAGAAGACATTGGAACCACATTTGTACTTGTCCTTCCCCTCACACTCCAATTCCAAATCATCAGAGATAAATGGAACTTTCTGCAGCCATCAACAACAGAACGAAGAACTAACTTAGCTACTCAGCAGAAACTCATCACATATTGTCAGCATTTCAAAGGCAAGTGATTAAAACTAAGCAATGTTCAAACCTTTTGTTTAGCAAGATCTTGGCACCCTGTGAAGTTCTCTGGGAACTTGCATGTTCCAAATTGAACGGTGTATGCCCTTGCAAAGTTTGCCCCACTTGTTGCCAATCTTTTCTTGTCATTCAGTTCCTGTTGCAACAATAGGCTTAGAAACATCATAGAATTTGCAGCTGAATCCTAATTCAGTCCCTTTACTTTGATCCTTTCCCATTGTAGTGCTGTATTAGTGTTTAGCTTTAAACTTGAGCGTTAGAGAATCTAAGCTAGTTGCTAGCAGATATTAGTTCAAAAGAAAAAGCCTAAAGAAACAACATTGGTGCTGTTACAACAACTTTCAGCATAAATCTTGGACTCCCTACTTCTAGTTTAAGATAAGGCTTCTGTTTCATAAACTATTGAAATCCAGCAACTACAAGAACCATATACATTTTTGAGCAGAGTCAAAGAATCAAGAACCAAAAACATTTTCATCATTTTAGCTAACTCAAAGAATCGAAACAGGGCTATGCATGGTTTGGTCAGCATAATAGATAGCTACCTTGTTAGCTTTACTCTTCTCAAGGTACTCTTCAATGACTCCAGCATTAGCAGAGGAGTTGGAGGCAGCCGCAGCCGCAGCAAAGAGGGTGGCACCAAGGTAAAGAAGCGCAGACCTCCTTCCGTCATTCTTGGCTTCAGGAACCCTAGCCTGTTGAGCCCTAATCGCAGGCAACTTGTAACCCACAACCCCAGGAGATGCAACAGAAGGGGCAGCGTTGATTTTAGAGCTCAGGTCGGCCGATCCCGCGCCTGAAATGGCGTAGTTGCAAGCCAGAACACTGGAATTCATGGTCGCCATTGCTTGCTGCGTAGGTCTCAGCAACTGCTTGGACGAAATCAAAGTTGGAATTAATGGCGGTCAGTTGTTAATAGGGTGATGAGATTACGAGGGAAACTGATAAAAAAAGAAAAAAAGAAAAAGAAAGGGATCTATGAGATGGAATTGGATAAGGGATTGTGGTAAGAGTGTGGATAAGGTGAGATTTCCTCACTCCCAATTGGCAAACCATGGCTGTGATTAGGGCTTAGCACATGGAAATGTATGTGGCGAGCCTCAATTCTGGACCCACAGTTCATCTTATAATTCCACTTCCGACTGAATTTTATTATTTAAAATCGGCTAAATTATAATTCCAATCCCTTTCAACTGTATTTCATTTTCAGTTACTATTGTTTTTTATAATTTTTATATTAAATTACTAATTTTTAAATTTTAAAAATTGAATGATTTTGTGTCTATATTACATCGATCCGAGGGAAGAACAAAACATTTATTACGAGAGTGTGGAAACTCTCCTAAACAAACACGTTTTAAAATCAATCGTGTGGCTGACAATAATATGTAATAGGTCAAAGCAGATAATATTTGTTAGCAATGACTTTGAACTGCTACAAATGATATTAGAGCTAGATATCGGACGGTGTGCGGTGTGCCTCTTCCTGCCTCTTCCTAGTAGATGTATTTTAAAATCGTGAGGTTGATGGTGATATATAACGGATCAAAACAAGCAATATTTGTTAGTGGTGACCGTACGGATACAATTTTCTTTAAAAAAAAGATTAATCGAACCAAACTTAGGCTATAAGGAAAAATATCAAATAGATTATCCAATCAAATTTTATAGATTCATAGACTTTTCAAATATTAAAGAAACAAATATTTTTAAGTAGTAAAAAGTGCACCAAATAAGTTTCAGAAACAAAAGATGATCATTTATACCTTGCCCTTCAAATTCAGCTTCCACTTAGCTTCAATAAAATTGCTTGAATTCAGCAGTCATAATAAGCAAACACGATTATGAACAGTGATGACAGAGTGGACAGATGATCACTTCATCAGAGCTAAAAAAGAATGAACTTCTTCTACTCATGCTCTACCTACTACCTAAAATGATCATATTAACAATGTTTTTCTATGTACATATTCCTGCAATGATTCCTGGTAAATTCTAAAGGACCTGAAAAGGATGAAACATACGTTATGTAAGCAAAATACAGAAGGCCAAGAAGAATTTTGAATGCTTTGGAATAAATTAATGTAACGGTCCAAGTCTACCGCTAGCAGACATGTCCTCTTTGGTGGAAACTTCTCCCTAGCAGAAGCGTTTTAAAAACTTTGAGGGAAGGCCAAAAAAAGAGAGCCCAAATAGGACAATATGTACTAACAGTAGGCTTGAGCCGTTACAATTAAAGTCTAACCTCAACGGCAAGACTCGAGCTATGCTTTTGTGTGGACATATCCGCACCATACCACGTGCTAGTTGTAATCTGTGCTTTTTACTCCATAAGCCACCAGATCTAACATCATCATACGAGTCCGAGTCGAAATCAAAGTACTTCAAATCCGTATGGGAATACAACAGCGAACAAGTGAGCAGTTCATCTTATTATTGACAATCTTTTTCTTTTCCGGTTCTTCTTTGGCATGGCCTTTTTGACAATATTGGATTCCAATGGAAAAGCCACGGTAGATGATGGTTTCCTACAACTGGTTCTTCCCTTTCCAGAGGCCCATTTCAAGGGCAGCTTATTTACCACAGAGCTAATATCATTTGAAGAATTCAATTCAACTAGTTTCTGAATTTCATCAAGGATCTGATGGGTCCAAGCCATTGACACATCCAAGGCAACAGAATCATCCATTGGTAGCTTCCACATATTCATCAGTATTTCCTCAAATGATTGAAAAGACATGGAAGGTTTGTAACTCGGGCGATTTTCACATATCATATTCACCTTGATCACATGTTTGCAGAGATTTCCTTGCAATGACCAAGAACAATCGCAAAATGAGAATTCTGACCCTGGATTCCAAACTATATGTGAAACACTGCTGTCCTTTTGGCTCAGAACTTTGGCAAAAAGGTGATTTTCCTCATCCAAGGAAACTGAAGAATCTGGAATTTGCAGCGCACGGTGCCAAGAAGTAGAAGAAATATACTCCTCCTTGACATTTTGAAATGAATCACTTTCATCGGCGTATCGATCTAGCCAGTAGGTTGAATGCAATTCAGTGGTCAACTTGTGAACCAACCAGTCCACCCTCTGGAAAGCACCAAGATGAGAGTCATCAAACAGTTTTGCCTTCAGCTTCATGTGATAGGCTTCAATGGCACCAGATGCCTCTTGGCTTGCAAGTGGAAAAGCTCTCATAGCAGAAAGCCACATCTCTGTAACAGTACAAAAAGATTGACAAAAAGAAAATTTAGGGCCAAGTCTATATAAGGTTAAACATGTGCAATCCTTTCGATTGTTAAAATATATAGCACACTAGAAAGGTTTGAGAGCAGAGATAGATTGAATAGAAGAAGTCTAACCAATCTTTGGCACCCAACAACCCTTGAAATATTCCATGAAAGCAGTTTGGTCAATGAAATCACGGATAAAATCTTCCAAGACAACCGAAGTATCGACTCCGTCCCAAATGCTGTGCACTAATTTTCCCAGCCGTTTGAACATTTCCCTCTGAACTTCAATGCTACTGCATTTCCTAACAACATTTTTTAGCCATGATCTACGAATGCGCCAAAGGGAAAAAAGCACAGGACAACAGAATATGTCCCTGAAAAATGAATCAATGTTAATTATAACTATGTTTAAACCATACAGAGTTGAGGAAGGGAAAAAAACAGAGAGATTGGTCAACCTACGTGATAGGATCAATCTCTGTGGCTGCGTCGTCAATTAAAAACCCACTAACTTTCCATCCGGGCTCTACAGAATGAGCACGATCAAGTAAGGCCTTCATCCATTTGGATACATCTGATTTTGCAAAGCTGCGAGTGATGATCCATGCAACAGGGAGTGCATGCTGTCTAGAATCAAACACAAGAAGTGTACACAGGGGGTACTGCACAAATAAGGAAGATGAAGCATCTACAATTTTTAGTAAACCAGAAGCGATTGACATTCACAAATTTTTGTAAATCGTAAAGCACGTTCAATCACCTTAAGCCTCTTAATGCCAAATGTTGAATCAGCAGCAATGAGACTACGATGGCCAAACCGAATCATCTGTTGCAATTGCCATTCTGTTTGAATCCCAAGAATGAAAGGATTTTCTTCTGAAGTATCCTGATAAATAAATATGGATTTTTTATTGCGCTCAACCCACATGCGAATGCTAGCTTGATCATCCAGATCGAGCTCATGGGTAGACCGTTTGATGATCATCCCAAGTTTGTGAACATACTGGGAAGCAAGACTGTTTGCTTTTGCATTTGAACCACAGTATCGCTGAAGACACTCAAGATGTTTCTCAACAATGTTTGCCTCAGGAATTCCCAGATAAATCATTGACATTGTTTGTTGTTGGATCTCATTACAAATATATGGGATCCTATTGGCATTAGGGCCAATGGCCTCTCTGTCGAGTGGCCCATGGCAAACAAAGCCAGACTTGTTCACATGACGCCTCTCATTATATATTATAAGTGCAAGAGATGGGCGGGCGTACAATCGCTTTACAACAAAATGGCAGGTGCAACCTCGCATTGATTGAGGTCTAGCAGCACGATTTCGCGTGTTAAGCCTATATCTTCTACTGGGTAAAATACATCCACCTTCCCCATAATTTTCAGGACCAAATGAGCACCAATACCTTCATACATGCATAAAAGGACCAGGGTGTCAATGAAAGAAATTAAGGAATTTATAGACAGATACAGTGAGGGAGACCTATGCAAGGGTCACTTTGTCAGAACATTGCTTTTGTTTTTTTTTTTTCAATGACAAACTCAATCTAGATTTTTCTAAATGAAAAAATAAAATCCTTAATTTGCTGAACTTTTTATAGAAGGATAAATAAGAATGTAAAAAATTGCTATGAAACTTACTGTCGATATTCCAAATATTCATCATCCTTGAACTCTTTCAAGCTTCCCATCGATCGTTTCTTTCCCTTCTCAATATGAAACCGGGTCGGGCACTCTATATTAGTACATTCACCAACTATAAATGCATCTACTCGGACATAAGGAATCAAAGCTACTTCATCATGATGTTCGACAGTGCCAAACTTGGTCCAAGTCAAATCAGCTGAATAGAACTCCTCCTCAGGCGGATCTTGTACCTGAAGATCAAGTATTGATTCAACGATAGCCATCGAAATCTAGCTGCCGAACTCCAATTCCTAGCAATCTGTAAAGCTCAGTGCATGGAAGAATGTTACTCCATAATTGTATAATCATAAGCAGTCACGAAAGCTAAGATAATTCACAATTGTACATACTACATTGCATATGCACACCTTTCTTGTTAGAGATAGTAGAGAAAAATAAGCATTTTTTCCAGTCAGTTCTATTAAGATATGATTTAAGAACTAATAGAGTATGCTTTCTTCTTCCCGCTTAAACATTATTCTTATTTTCCCCAAAGGCGTCCTGGGTCATTTCGATGAAATTTAACCCCAACCCTCTTGGAAAATCCAACCATTATTTCCACATGGGCAATACCACTTCATAAACTGTTTTTACAAGAAAACCAACCCCTTAGAACAATTAATCACAGACTTTCAAGGTTTAATCAAACTTCATCACCCCATGTCTAATAAAGCCAAGACATGAACTATAGTAAATAAACCCGTCGGTCGTATTAGAGAAACAAGAAAAACAGATAAAGACCAAAATTCACAGCAATTTATCTCGTACGAGTCCTTACAGAGCATCAGGCGAAAACTAAATTCGAATAGCTAGAAACGCGAATTCTGAACGCAACAACCAATCTCCGAAGTAACAAATTCCTGGCAGGTCTAGTTGCTGGTCAGTCAGTTCTGGGTTTTAAGAACATGCTTCTGCGCATATGGGTCAAAACTCGAGCTTGATTGTTCCTTCTTGGAAATGAATGCCAAGCAGTCGGTGAGGTGGAACAAGAAAAGAGTCTGACCAGCGATGGTTTTGTGAATCCCTGAAGACGCAGGCATTAATGAAGAGTTGAAACAGAGGAGAACGAACGAAGAAGATGTTTGCACTACCTTCCCTCGTTAGCCTGCACCGAGAGATCGAAAAAGAACATACAGATTAAGAGAATCGGTCTGAGCCCTAAGCCCAATGGGCTTATTATTCGCTTGGCCCATTTAAATCGACATGAATAAAGCCCAAAACAAAGTGGCTCATGAGTCGGCCCATGAGTGACTGTTCTTTGTGCCATAAGTCCTCTTATTTTATTTATTTATTTTATTACATTTAAATTTTCTTTTTGGTAATATTTTTATCTTGTTACTGAACCCATCCAGACATCTATTTATTTATTCACTTACCAAATAAATAATTAAATATATTTTTGTTTTTTAAATATTATTAGATTTATTAGTATATTTTATTTTATTTTTTAATATAAATTATATTGAAAAATAAAAAATACCCATTAAAAATATAAAAATGTATAAAAATTATCCACGAGGAACATGATCCCTACTTCGATTCTTGTAAAAATAAATTAAGAATTTTGCGAGAATGAAGAATGAAATAGGAGACAGGAACGGAGATAGGAAAGGCTTCCCCATCCCCACTCAACATCGTGGATATCTTTAAGAGCGGGTTAATAAAAGCATCTTCTAATTTATTTTATTTTTTAAAAAAGGATTAAGAATTTAAATATTTATATATAAAAAAATGAAAAGTATAAATACTGAAAAATAATAATGAAAAATGTGCATTTCCAAAATTTATTCCGTCCAATAAAATTGTCATAAACATAAAATTATCAAAGAAGCGGGCGAAAACGGAGGGAGAGAGGCAGAGAGAAGGAGATGGCTATAAATTTGTTGAAAACTGCACCTAAAGTTCAGAGCTCCATTACTTCAAAGCCTTCCGCCTCTCTGTTCTTCACAACCAGAAGGTCCTTCTCCGTCCCCTTGTATTCCCCACTTGCGTTGGCTGTTTCTTCGATGTCTTACGAGAAGGAGCTCGCGGCTGCGAAGAAAGCGGCCTCTCTCGCTGCTCGTCTATGCCAGGCAATTCTCTCTTTCTAATACCCTTATTATTTTCCATGAAATTTGTGCAATTCTGTAAATGTGAGCGAATATGGGTGACTTCCATGATGAATTGGATACAAATCGGAGTGTGGTACTGTGATGTGATATTGTGATTTGAACCCTGCTCGTGTAATCGTTGTATGACCTAAACCGAAGTTATCAATTCATCGTACATTTACGTATCCTCATTGCTCGGGGGTTATTTAAAATTCCTACGATTGAAATTGTTCTTCTACAATGTTGCGCTCTTGGAAATTTCTTCAACTATACATCTCGTTCTAAGCTGATTTTATCTGCTGTTTCTGGGCGCAGAAAGTGCAGAAGGCGTTGTTGCAATCTGATGTTCAATCGAAATCAGATAGAAGTCCAGTGACTGTAGCCGATTACGGTTCGTAAAGCTTCTGTCGCTCAGTTTTGTTCTGTATTTTGTTGTTACCTTTTCCAAACCAACGAGTCAGCTAGTCTGGTCGTTAGATCACGTTAATACTTGGAGTAAACAATATATGAATATCTCTTGTTTCCTACTTTTTTTTTAATTTTTTTTCTTTTTTTGTAAATACGAGTATAGTTGTCCCCGGCAACCTGTGTCTCTCGATTCTTGACTAATACCACAGAGAATCTTAGGATATTTCATTTACAAATGCGGTTCTTTTGACTTCAATGGAATATCACGCTCCAAATCTTGTGGAATTCCATTAGCTTCTCTAGCTTGGGTTTAATCATATCAAGCTACCGCATTGCTATATTTGTAGCTGTGGTGTTCATTTTGATCCACTTAGCATAATCTCACGTTCTTTTGGTAATTTTGATAGCTGCTACTTTTGTCTGATCACGAGTAGCTTCAAATATCTTCAAGAAAACTTCTATAGCTGTCTGAGTTTCTATGAAATTTATATTGGATAACTAAGGAGATAAGCGTCAGCATAGAAGGAAATGTCGGGCTCTCAAATTTATGAAATATTGATATGATGGATATATTGAGAAAATCATTGAAGTGGTGATTGTCTTCTGCTTTCTTCACTTATGATCCCTTTTGCTTTTGTTAAGACAGGCAAACCCCTTCCCAATTCTTCTACTAGCGTCGTGATTGAGACAAATAATTTTAGTTCGTGTGTGCCTCACTGCAGCTTAAAGAGTTACTTTGATATGTCAGAGGCTGACTGGATGTACTCTTTCTATGGCTCTTCTATGTCCAGGTTCACAGGCGCTGGTTAGTTTTGTACTGGAAAGGGAACTCCCTTCTGTACCTTTTTCAATGGTAGCTGAGGAGGTCAGTATGTAGTTTTTATTATATTGTATTTAGAATCTGCTTTCTTTGACTTGTCTCAGCAAAATAATTTTGAAGTCTGGGGTCTCTAGGATTCAGGAGATCTACGAAAAGAGAGTGGCCAGGAAACATTACATCGCATTACCGAACTTGTAAACGAAACACTTTCCAGTGAGGGATCATACAGTGCTTCAACCTTAACGGCAGAAGATGTGCTCAGGGCTATTGACAATGGGAAATCAGAAGGAGGTCCTACTGGTCGACATTGGGTTTTGGATCCCATAGATGGCACCAAGGGGTAAGTTAGCAAATCAGAATTCCCTTTCTATTTTTTGCACCTGTAATTGGTTTTCGCAATTGTCAATGTAGCTTCAAACAATCTGATAGTTTTTATTTAGAAGTTTTTGGATTTAGAGGGCTTTTTAATCCAATTAACCATATTTCCCGGATGTTTACTTTTGAGTTTCATTAATATTTTATTCCCCACTTAATAGTTCATATTGATGGGTTTATCTGTCTTATATCATGCGCATGTGTCTCTGACTATCTGTGTCTTAGATTTCTAAGAGGGGACCAATATGCTACTGCATTGGCATTGCTTGATGATGGGAAAGTAGTTTTGGGTGTCCTAGCCTGTCCAAATCTTCCCTTGGAACCAATTGGTAGCAGTAATCAGCATTCTCCACTTGGAGACGTCGGTTGCCTTTTCTTTTCTACCGTTGGTGCAGGAACATATATGCAGTCGCTTGCTGGTTCTACATTAACAAAGGTTCGTTCTTCAATGTTTTATCCAGGAGTTTCATTCTTGAGTAGGAAAAAAGAAATGAAATAATATGTGAGGCATTTTGCTGCACTTTAGGTGAGTGTCAGTACCACTGAAAATTCTGAAGAAGCATCCTTCTTTGAATCATATGAAGCTGCTCACTCTCTGCATGACCTCACTAGCTCCATTGCACAAGTAAGCCATTCTTGGTCCACATTTGATCTATACCAGTTGTGTTTTATTCCTTGAAAGATATATTCTATGTGGTTTGCTGAGATGATTAATTACCAAACAGAAACTTGGTGTTAAAGCACCACCCGTTAGGATCGACAGTCAAGCAAAATATGGCGCCCTTTCCCGAGGAGATGGAGCCATATACCTTCGTTTTCCTCACAAGGGCTACCGTGAAAAGATTTGGGACCATGCTGCCGGATGCATTGTTGTTAGAGGTGAATTCAAAATTTGGAGTTGTTGAATTACTAGTAGACTTAAGAGTTGTTAAATCATTACTAGATTTTAATGCTTCATTATCAAGTTCTGGTGATTTTAATCATTTAACATATTTTCAACGCTTCCCGTGGATTCAAATGTTAGTTTGATTATTCGAAAGGCCCATGAACTATTAACATTTTGTTTTCGTTGAAAATTCTACAGAAGCTGGTGGAGTGGTTACGGATGCAGCTGGGAATGCATTGGATTTCTCAAGAGGAAGATATCTGGATCTGCACGAGGGTATCATTGTTACGAACCAGAGACTGATGCCATCACTCCTCAAGGCAGTTCAAGAAGCTCTTCAACAGAGAACTTCTTCAACCTTGTGATTTTTCTTACGCTTGATTCTGTTCACATTGTTTTCAGCTCTGAATCCTTTTCTTCCACCCTCCCAGCTCTTCCCTCAATTGAAGCTTTTTTGAACTTCAACTGAACAAATCTCATCATTAGCAATAAAACATTCTGTAGTTGGGTTATGCCCTCTTTTTATGATCATACCATTAGACTAAGTAATGCCGGAATTTTGAGGTTTTGGATTCAAATATTCTGGTGGTATAGCAAAGATTTCAAGCTCAAATGAAACTCAGTTCTTTAAAGCTTTGTCTGACAATTTATTCAATAACTTTGCTATAACATTCCATTCATATAAGGAAGACTTGCTTTATTTCATCAGGATGCCTTTATGTCCTTTTATTCATAAACACTGCCACCAATTCACATATTTCTCAGAGTGTTTCAAAACCTAAAGACAGGTTACAACAGTTGAAAGTCAGATGGGTAATCTTGTGGGTGTGTTTTGATTGTTTTTCTTAACCATCTCTCTTGCTCTTCAAGGTTGGAGGGAGGAACATCATACACATCTGTGAAAGCATCTGCCACAGGTGGCTTCTCAGTTCTCTCTGCCAACTGAATTTCCTCTAATAGCTGTTTGAACCAAAAACACAGCAAATTAAGAATGTACACGACTCATTTCATAACCATTTTATGCTTATTCTTGTTTGTTTTCTCACCATTTCCCAGTTCTCGTGAAAGTATTTTTCTAAATTATTTAGTTCTCGTTGGTTGTTCTTTTTGTTCTCATTAGGAAAAAGAAAATATATGGCAAGGAGGTTGTTTAGTTGATGCACTGAAAATTTACCTGTTTTCTTAGGCTACTTCTAAGCTCTGCTTCGGCCTCATCACTCCACCAACCATTGCTTTCAATCCATTTCCTAAATCTGGAGACAGGGTCCTTTGCAACCCTCCACCATTCCATTTCCTCCACTGGACGATACCTGGTCGAGTCGTCTGATGTCGTGTGGTGTCCAACTCTATATGTGAGAGCCTGTTAATGAAACAAAAGATATCAGAACACCATAGTTATCCATTTCAAGAAACAGAGTTTCAGTACCCTTCTTACCTCAATTAAAATCGGCCTTCGTTCTTGAATTGCCATTTTTCGAGCAGCTCGAACTGTATTATATACAGCAAGTGCATCATTGCCATCTACGCGGATACTGCGAACGCCATAAGCCCGGCCTTTTACAACCACCCCATCACCTGTAATATAATAGAACACTAAAATCTAAATAACGTGATGCATTCTTCACAACTGTAAACAGTGAGAAAAATGAGATACTTCGAAACTGGTCTGAAATGGGAGTACTGATTGCCCATCCATTGTTCCGGCAAATAAAAATAACAGGCACCTCCAAAACTGCTGCAAAATTTAAAGCTGCGTGGAAATCTCCCTAATGTAACATGATTCAAGAAACAACAGAAAAATCAACCTTGCAACTTGGAAGAGTACAACAAATTCGAACACTACGAGTTTTTCTTAGTATTCTGTACCTCGCTCGTTCCTCCATCTCCAAAATAAGTGACTGCACAGGCATCTCTTTTTTCCATCTTCATTGAATATGCAGCACCAACGGCATGGGGGATTTGAGAACTACAAATTAAAGTAAAACATGAGTAATAAGAGTTGAAGTGTTGGAAGATCTGATCAAAAGTTTTGAGAAATTGAGCTCAAGTCTTACGCGATCGTTGATGCTACAGTAAAGTAATTGTGTCTCTTCGACCCGTAATGGACAGGCATCTGCCTCCCTTTACAATAATCATATTTGTTTCCGAAGCACTGGCTTGCAAATTCTTTCAGAGTAAAACCGCGCCATACGAGTACCCCTGCCTCCCTGTACTGTATGACGTGGGAGAATTGCACTAAGAACTATCAATTACACAATTGTGATGTTCCAACTCAAGCCCACCTTGTTCTCTTTGGGCTTTCCCTCCTGGACTTCCCCTCAAGGTTTTAAAACGCATCTACTAAGAAGAGGTTTTCACACCCTTATAAAAAATGATTCATTCCCCTCTCCAACCAATGTGGGATCTGAAAATCCACCCCTTTGGGAGCCCAGCGTCCTCACTGGCACACCGTTCGATGCGTGGCTCTAATACCATTTGTAACCGCCCAAGCGCACCGCTAGCTTTGGGCTTTCCCTCCTGGATTTCCCCTCAAGGTTTTAAAACGCATCTACTAGGAAGAGGTTTCCACACCCTTATAAGGAATGCTTCGTTGCACTCTCCAACTAACGTGGGATACTAATTAGGTAAGATACTAGTGCAAGCAAATAATATTCTTTCCATGTGAGTACGAGAATGTGCTTCGTATTACTAAGGAGGAAGATGAGGTGGAGGTATGAAGTAACCTGTGGGACAATGAGGTCATCCAATGACAGTGCTGCAGCAGAAGCAATGTTGATTGCTTCTTCTCCAAGGGAGGTCACATAGAAGGAAATTCTTCCTTGCCTTTGCGCTTCATAAAAGATAGTGTCCATTGTTTGAAGAGTAACCATGTCATTATACATCTTCATGGCAATCTCCTTGCTCACCTAAATGAAAGTACCATCAAGTTCATAAATGCCTATCGTTTCACTTGAACTTGGGACATGCTCAGCATAAATTACCTGTGTAAAATTACTGTACATACTAGGCTGCCCATTGTCATCAAGAACACGAAAGCAGGGTACCCGCTCCTCCTCGCGCTCAGGGACGAAACTCAATTGAGGAGTAAATTTAACCTTTCCTCCTGGAAAGTTCAAAACCTTGAACAAGAAATGCAAGTTTCACTTTCAACAAATGATATCAGGAACTTGTACACAATTGAATGACATTGAATATTATGAACTCGTTCACAGTTGGTAAGAGGAACACAGAGAGATTTAAGGTGAGACTTTGAGAGGAATCTCTACTTTTTGAATAATTTATGCTCAAAAAGAGATTTGAGCGAATTCGTAACTCTTAGAATTGTCGAGAGGCTTGAGCGAATTCGTAACTCTTAGATTCTATGTTTCTCTTTAGACTTCTGTCACAAGGTCCTTTTGTAATTACCTATATTGGATTTGCATTGAATTGCATCGTTGCTAGAATACAGGTTCCTTCTTCCATAACCCAAGCTCGGAGAAGGCTGCAAGCAACAATGGTGGAAAAGCCATTGCGCTTGTAGTTTAGGAACCGGGATTTCGGGTTCATCTAACATAGTAGCAACAATGGGAAATTTAGAATTTGGGGGTCTAACTTCTTCTACACAAACCAACCCACGAGATGGGCGGACCCAGGACAGTTCAAGGGGAACTTTCTTGATGAACTCAATGAATCCCAAAAGTAACACCTTCTTTACATGAACTCATTTTCCACCTTCCAGACTACACAAATGGAATATACCATAATGACTTGTAACTTGGGAGTTTGAGCCACTAAAATACACAAAAGATTAAGGAATAATCTGTTCCCCTCAAAGTCTTACCTTAAATCTCTCTCTGTTCTTATAGAGATTCCTCTCAACGTCTTACAAAGAACAAGGGGGAGGAGTTGACAAGCAGAATGGAAAGGAAAAACTACATTGTCAACAAATAATCATTGAGATGCAGTCTCCGCAAACACACAATCCTCATACGAAGATTAAAAAATTAAGAGGAATCTTACCTAAAAACGATTAGGGATTATAAAAACAAAAATACGAAACATGAAATTAGAAAACAGAATCAAAGTTGACCGAATCAGAGTGCATTCTACCTGATTGTCACGATCATCGTTGACAGAATCTATTTGTTTCTCCACTTTCGTCGATTTGAAACGATGAGTAGACAAATGGTTAAGCATATTTTCGAACCCCAAAACTCTGTTTCCGATCTTATGAACTGCAAATGGAGTTTCACGAAGCGAACCCAAGAACCGCATCCCGTTTCTAAAATGGGGGATGATCTTCGTTGCTTTTCTCACATGAAACGCCATCGCTGGACGGAGAATGCTTCAGATCGAGTCTTGAACACCGCGCAGAAGAATTGGATCGTTGGGTTTCGTAATATAGATTAAGGGTCAGAGGGACATTGACAAGTCTGTTGCGCTTGGACAGATTTCGCCAATTCCATTAAGCGAATTCTTATCTAATTTAAGACTCCACTGTCAATCGGATAAGTAGCCATCGCACGAACTTGTTGGCATTCATCCATATCCGTCTGAGAAAAAAGAGGCATTCTTCTTTATACAAGCGAAGGTGTTCATGTTCTTCACGACTCCTTTATGAAATATTTTGTTTTCAAATCATGATTTCGTTGAACTTTGCACATTTTTTCATTGCCAAATGGTTAAAATTTTAATTTATTGTGGATCGATTCAAATTTTTGAACCAACCCAAAATTTTAAAATTGTTGGGTTTGAATTTTGTTCTCATTTCCAATAGACTTAGGATCTCACTATCCACTTTTCTGATATCATTTGTAATAACTGCCCACTACTAATAAATATAGTCAACTTTGGTCAACTTTAGTATGGAACATATAGTCATCAACCTCGCGATTTTAAAATGGGGAGAGGTTTCTTATGAGTAATGGTTCGTTCCCCTTTGTGATCTCACAATATCCAAAGCTAACAACATTTGTTAATGGTGGGTTTTGGTGGTTATAAATGGTATCAGAGCAATTATCGTATAAGACACTGATCATAGTAGGGCTAAACTCTCTTCAAAGGTTAAAGCAGACAACATGTACAGCGGTAGGCATGTATAACAGATCTAATGAGAAGAAAAAGGGAAATTCATTCATAGGTCAATGATTTTCAACGGCTATCGTTAATAATCGTGGGTTTCAATTAGGCCACGTAACAGATTCAGATTGCGAAAAGTTCCGGCTCCGCCAGCTTACCGCCTCGCCTGATATCTGGCGCGCAGTGTATCAACTATTCGTTTCCGTTATTGAAGGCTCTCCTAATGGAGTTTCGCATTCTGCAACAATCTTCATCATGTTATGCAGGTCTCTCGCTCCTGCGATTTCAGATTGCGCTTCAAAAACTCTAATTGCTGCTTTATTTTCTTAATGTCTTCTTTCTTCTGGATTGTATTTGATTTCAAGTCTAAATTAGGGTGTGATTTGATTTTCCTCTCTATCTGGGTTCTTGTGTACTTCCCTTTTTCTCGTCTCGAATTGATTATATTGATAGAGGGATTCTGATGTTTTTTGTTTATTAACTTCTTTAATGGTCGACAAATTTATGATCAGATATCACCGAGTCTTCCAGTTTTAGCATTCGTTACTTGTACACGAGGGTGGGGCTGCTATCT